CGCACTGCGGCCGCGGCCGCGCGGACGATGCGGGAACCCGCGCCCGCCCCAGTCTTTTCGGCTGAGGATATGCGGCGGGATTGGGAGCCGTGGTGGGTGCCTGACTCTGGAGGCGCCCCCCTGGACTGGGTCGTCGTCGCTCGCGAGTGGGGGGTCCCCGAAATCCCCGCCAACCCCGCCTGGCGACCCCCCTCGTTCGCAGCCTTCCAGCGGGCCCTCCGGGACACTCACGGGGCGGCTGGGCTCGACGGGTGGGAGGCTTCTGAGCTGCAGGGCCTTTCGGACCACTTCCCTGGCCTCCTCCACGAGCTCTGGGCCATCCTCGTCGCCACGTTGGAGGGGGGCGCCAGCCCATGGCCTGATGAGCGCACGCGGGTTTTCGGGGCTTTGCGGGTGGTCGGCATCCCTAAGCGGGGGTCCGACGACGCCCGGCCGATCGCGATCGGGCCGGTCTGGATGCGAGTTTGGGGCCGTTGCCTCCTCGACGTGCTTCCCGCGCCCCCTGCCGAGGCGTTCGGGGAGAGGGGCGCCGTGGCCTCCGTGGCTGACTGGGCCGCCGCGCCCGGCGACGCGGGAGCCGAGGTCGACCTTAGCCGGGCCTACGACTCGGTGGACCACGGCGTCGCAGGCGCCGCCCTCAGGCACCAAGGTGCACCTGCTCCGGTCGTGGCTACCATGGAGGCTGTCTGGCGGGCCCCCCGATATTGCTCGGTGGCCGGGGACACTGCTGCTGCTTTACACCCTACTCGGGGCCTGCCGCCCGGCGACCCTTCTTCGGGCCGTATCCTCAGTCTGGTGCTTTGCCCCTGGCACGCCGCGATCCGTTCGGTGCCCAGGACGCGCGCATGGTCCTACGTGGACGACCGTTCCATTAAGGCCGCCGCGGCGGTGGATCGGGACCGTGCCTTAGCGAGCACTGCGGAGATCGACCGGCGGCTTGGTTTTTCGGAGAACATTAGGAAGCGGCAGGTTTGGTCGGGCACCCAGAGCGCCGAACATTTGGGAGTGCGGGCCGCTGTCGGCGACGCCGCGACCTGGCCCCAGCTGCCTGGGCCTCGGGACGGGTGGGACCAGATCCGCTCCCAGGTGCGCCGGCTCCGCACGGTGCCCGGCGGGCAGCGGACCAGGGGGCTCGCGGCCCTGCGATGTGCATCGCTCCTAAACACCGGTGGTCGGCTCCGTTCTAGAACTGCGCGATCCCGCCATGTGATATGATCGCGCTCACGTTTCGGTCTGTTGTCCGGACTCGCTGCACCTGGTGGCGCGTTCGGCGTTGGTACGCCGAGCGGGTTTCTTTGCGCCCTGTCTTCGGTACGGCGTGCGCTGTGCTGAAGGCGGCTCGGGGGGTTCCCGCGTCGCGGTTGTTGTCGGTGGCGCTCTCGGAGCATTCTGGCGTGTTCGGGCTGCTCCCGGTCGCCGCCGGGTCGCTCCCCGAAGGCGTCTGGCTGCTTCCGGCCCCGGGGCTCGACCCCCGGGCCGCGGCGGCGGTCGCCGCTGCAGCCGCCGCTGACAGCCGCGAAGCGAGAACCTGGCACCCTGGGACCCCTCGCCCCCCCCGCAGGGCTTTCGACGCCTTGTCCGATCGCGGTCAGCACGTTCTCCGGGAGCGCGCCCGGGCGGCGCTCCTTCGCCCCAGGGCGGCGCCTGGGCCCCCGCCGCGGCACGACGAAGAGGGGATTGGGGAGATCGATCTGGCTGTTCAGAGCGCGCCGCCGCGGGCCCAGTTCGGGCGATCGCTGGGCCGATACGAGACGAACCTCCTCGCCGTTTGGAGGGGCGGGGCCGTGCGCACGCCGACGCGCAGGCACGGCGGTGCGTGCGCTTGCCCGTTCGGTTGCGGGCACACCCAGGCGTCGGCTCGGCACTTCTGGGCCGAGTGCCCGCGTTTTGCTGGACGTCGGCTCGAACTCGGGGAGAATCTGCGGGTCGCGCCGGCTTGGTGGGGGGCCCAGCCCCGCGTCACGGCGAAAACGGGGTGGATCACTAAGGCTGCCGGGGGCTCGATTCAGCGTCGGGCTCAGCTGCATGTGATGGCGTGCCGCCTCGGCGTCGCCATCATGCAGGCGCTCGCCGGCCTCGGCGGGTGGGCCTTCGGGGACGCGGTCTCCCCGCCCGGGGCCCACCTGGGTCCTCCCTCCCTTCCCTCCCCTTTCCCTCCGGCGGGCGGCGTCCTGGCGGGCGGCGGGACGGACGACGACGACGCTGACGACCTCCCTCCCCCTCCTGGTGGTGGTGGCGGTGGTCCCCCGGGTGCTGACAGCCGTCCTAATTAGCTCCGCTTCAGTCCTGTGGTCCACCGGCCCTTTTTCCAAGGTTTGAACAGCGCTGCGCGTTGTTTTAAACAGCAGCTAGGGCAAAGGCACCCTGCTGCTTTCAATTCTCAGGGCGAGGAGGACGAAGAGGGCAAGGACCAGGACCAGGAGGAGGAGGAGGAGGCGGAGGAGGAGGAGGGGGAGGGGAGTAGACATCACCTTCGGGCGCAGGGATAGGATGACGCTCAGGCACCAGATTCTGAGCTGCCATCGCCTCCAATTGTGCTCTCAAGAGTCGTTGCCTGACCAGTGCAGCCTTCTTTCCTGTCTCCCACACTCGCTCGCTGCAACTCCGAAGCCCTCCAAGCCGTGGCGGTATCATCCGCGATCACATTTGCTACAGCGTTCCCCAAAATGAAATAGAGTGGCACACCTTTCTGGAGATCCTCGGAGGCCTCGAGGTGGGAGGGGACCCAGCAGACCTTGATGCACGAGGGGTCTCGTGATTCGAGGAGCTTACCTATCTCCAGCCACCTTGGCCCAAGGGACCCTCGAGGTTCACGGTGAGCTTTATTGCGCCAACCGTCGGAATCAGCACGGTCGCCGGTAACATTTAAGAGAACGCCTGCTTCCAAACCACGAAGTTCGCCTCTAGGAAGAGTTTGCAGATTTCCCATTACAGATCCCGCGACAAAGGGCCCAATCGCCAGAGGCTCGCAACTCCTGCAGTCGGGGCCCATGCCAAGACACACCCCACTTGCCTCCAGGGTGCCCTGGGTTTCTTTGATCCCGATGGCTGTGCCGTGGAACGCGTGGCGCTCCCACACCGAACATCGAGGGACGTCCTGGGGTCTCAGGGTTTGGGTTCCTTGTGTGGGGGGAGCGTAAGACCCGGGTTTGCCAGGTTTCGGGTTCGCCATCGTTTTTTGACGACCGCGCCTCGGATTTTGACGAGGAGGAGTTTCGTGGGATGTCTGCAGCGGGAGGCCTCGTCAAAATGCAGGCTCGGCCTCGTCATTTTTTTGACGACCTCGTCGGGTATTTCCGAGTCCTCTGTACCCAGGTCTTACGTCCCCCTGATCTTTTCCCTTATGAATCATTTTTCCCTGTCGCACCCCGAGGCCAGTTTTTGGGGCGGGCCTGGCGTTTCGCCCGAGACTCATCCTCATCGCCTATGATTCGGATTTTTAAACCTTGGCAGCAGTTTCGCAGATGGTGGGCGGGTCGTTTTCAAAATGTGGCTCTCGACATAGCGCGGCGCACAGTCGTTTTAAACGTTGCAAGAGCTTCACGGATTGAGGGCGGGTTGTTTTCAAGATGTGGTTCTCGCTTTAGCGCGGCACACATTCGTTTCAACAGTTGCAAGAGTTTCTCGGATTGTGGGCTGGTCGTTTTCAAAATGTTGTTCTCGCCTTAGCGCGGCGCACATTAGTTTTGAAGGTTGAGCTTCACGGATTGAGGGCGGGTGGTTTTCAAAATGTGGCTCTCGCCTTGGCGCGGCGCGCATTCGTTCTTTAAAATGCAAGGTGTTTGACGGATTGAGGGCGGGTCGTTTTCAACTTGTGGTTGCCGCCTTAGCGCGGCGCACACCAGTTTAAAGCATTTACAACAGTTTCACGGATTGAGGGCGGGTCGTTTTCAAAGTTATATTTGAGAAAACCCAATCAGTGGATGATTTGAAAATTGACATTATGGATCTTGAGATCGGTTGTGAGATCGATAGTGTAATCGATAGTGTAATCGATAGTGAGGACGATTGTAAAGTCGATCGTGAGACCGAGAGTGAAATCGATTCAATGAGATCGATAGTGAGATCGATCGCGAGATTGCTCATACGATCTCTAGTGAGATCGCTTGTGAGATTGATAGTAAGATCGATTGTGATATCGATGGTGAGATCGATCGAGAAGTCGGTAATGAGATCGATGGTGAGACCGATCGATAAGAAGATCGACCAGGGACCCGGGAACCCGGGAACCTCGCCGCCCTCCGAAATCGGCCCAGAACCCGGAACCGGGAACCCGGGAACCCGGAACCGGGAACCCAGGAACCCGGGATGCAGCTTGCCACCAAAATCGGCGGGGAATTTTCGCCAAATCCTTCAACATCCGCTAGGACCCCTTCAGTGCAAGCACTGGACCTGGGAACCCAGCCTGCCACCAAAATCGGCGGGGAACTTCCACCAAATCCTTCAACATCCGCTAGGCCCCCTTCAGTGCAAGCACTGATTGGGGAATGTGGTTCTCGCTTTAACGTGGCGCACATTTGTGTTAAACATTTAGAAGAGCTTGACGGATTGAGGGCGATTCCCTTTCAAAATGTAGTTCTCGCCTTAGCGCGGCCCGCATCCGTTTCAAAAACCCAGAAGAGTTCCACGTATTTCCATCATGAACGTGCTAGTAGTTGCGTTTTGAAAGGATTCAGGATTATGCGTGTGCAACAGTTATGTTGATTCGCTGTGTTGAAGTCCCAGGAATGGCGTTCTGGCGCGATTCAGGATGGTCAAGACGCAACAGTCCGGTTGATCCGTGGCGTTGGAATCCCGAGAACAATGTTTTGGCATGTTTCAGGGTCTTCAAACGGTTGTCTTCCAACGAGGCAGTTCCTTCAATGGAAATGAACCGTTGTAGTGGCATATGAAGAGGAAGCTTGGAGGGAGGGTTTTCTCCAACATCGTTGATGGCTCTTGGGTTTACACTGGTCCACCTCCACCTCCTCCTCCCCTTCCTCCACCTCCGCCGCCTCCTTCTCCTCCTCCTCCTCCTCCTCCTCCTCCTCCACGGTGGGTCTCCGTAGCCATTTTGGCTCAAGTCACGTCGCCCGAGACCCAGCCCAGCCCGTCTACCGAACTTCCGACCTCGCTCCTAGATGGCGAGGAAGATCGTCCTTACGCTCTTCGCCTCGACGTCCGTTGCCTCCTCCCTGACACTTCAATCCAGAGAGCTGTCTGAAGATGAATCCGCGCCCACGGCTTTGAGTGCCCTCCTATCGGAGGCGATCGGTCTGCTGCAGGAGGCCGATGACGCGCAGGTCTTGGCTGGCGGCGAGATCTCTCTCCTCAGCATTGACGATGCGGCTGACGAGGCGAACGAGGACCCCGAGCATGCCGCGGCTGAGGAGCAGACCTCCGCAAGCCAGGTGGCCAGCACTGGTAATGTGACTGACGATGCGCCCGCCGCGGAGGCTCCTCTGGCGGCACAGGTCGAGCGGGGGACGGAGGACGCCAACGCCTCGGGGAACGCCTCGGAGGTGCGGGCCGAAGAGAACCAGAGCAGGGCCAACCTGTCCACGTACTTCGACCCCAAGCTGATGGCCATCTTCCGCGAGAAGCAGGCGCACCTGAAGGAGACGATGAAGGATTTCATGGTGTCGAAAAAGGAGCTGGACGTGGCCAAGCTGGCCGCGAACCTGGCGATGAAGAAGCTGAGGCTGGCGACCGAGAAGCGGAGGAAGATCCTGATGGGCGAGAGGATGGCCGAGGCCGAGGAGCGTCGGGCGATCAAGGAGAACCGGCGACAGGCCAAGACGGACATGACGGCGCGCGCGGAGCAGTTGCTGGCGGACTCATTGGGTGGCCTGGCGGGCGTCAACATTAGCTACATGGTAGACGTCGTCCTGGCCCTGCCGGAGGCGCTGCAGGACGAGGAGTTCGTGGAGGATTTCCGCAACGTGACAAAGAGGGTGGATGTGAATGTCCGGAAGTTTCTGGACCAGACGCAGCAGAAGACCACCCAGTTCGTCAAAGACAGCACCTCCGCCTCCGACGTGGAGTTGCGCTTCATCATGGCGAAGTTCTTCCACGAGTCTGGCTTCCGCCTCCGAGGGCTCCACCAGGACAGCCTGAAGGCCATCCAGATGCTCAGGCGCACGGTGCCGGAGGACTTGGAGAGGGCGCTCTTCCCGTTCCTCGGGCAGCTGAACGCCAACACGGTCCGCCTCAGGATCAATGCCACCAGCCTGGCCACCGCCACCCCGAAGGAGGCGTGCGACCAGATCACCCAGATCATGGCCAACGTCAGCGATTATGACAGCAAGCTCGAGACCATCGGCAAGGTGATCGAAAACGTGTCCACGATGGTGTTGCCCAACATGGAGAGGACGCTGCAGGTCTCTCCGAACATCACCACCTTTGTAGGCTCTTTCCTGAACATGGCGCGCCTCGAAGTGGGCGGCCTGCAAGAGGCGGCCCACAGCATGGTCACCAGGGCCAGCCCCATCATCGCCGAGCGGGTGCAGTGCACCTTCAGCAGCGCGCGTCCGCGCGTCGGTCTCAGCCTCCTCAGCGCGGTGGCGGTGCTCGCGGCCACCTGGCTTCTTCAGTGAGGGGGCTCGATTCATTTTGTAGTTGCCGCAGCTCCATCTGTCGATGCAACGAGAATTTTTGCCCGTTCATGATGTCTCTAAAAAAAATGTTGCTTCGCAACTGTTCTGATTCCTGATTCCTGATTCCACGGTGGGTCGACCAAGTTCCACTGCCGCGGCACGACGCCCCTGTACCAAAAGCAAGGAGTAGCATCGCCCTGCGAAATGGCCTGGCCGACCAACTGGTCAGTGTCTTGGGAGATGGGGTGGTCTTTGTTGCACCTGCACTGTCTCAGGCGACTCACGACATCGCGGTAGCAAATCATCCTCCACCAAACCTGCTCTTCCTTGATAGCGTCCATGACCCTCCCACGGCTTTGTGCAATAAAACGTCGGCAAGTTGGCGTCCTTTGTGAGCTGACTGAAGCTGCTGCACAAGGGCACGAAGCGAGCGGTTGCCGGCACCGTTATCCAAACCTTCGCCGCAAAAATTGTGGGCTGCATCTTTCCAAAGAAGATTGCCGTTGGCATCGGCGGAATCTCTGAGCAAGTCCTGGGCCTCATCGATCGACTCGAGCGACTCGTCGTTGAAGATCCAGCCAAAGTTAACTTTATCATGTGCCCCAGGAAGCGTCCAAATGTCGGGAGTGTCGGGGCCCCATCCCGCACTTAACAGACGCAGCAACCGTGTCACTGAGGGGCCCTACAGTATGTCTGGCGAAATCTGAGACCTCGAGCTGCTTAAAAAACTCGACTGGCTGTGGCCAGCCAGACTCAATCTCGGCTCTTCAATCCACGCACGGAGCCACTCCTTCATGCTGGCTACGGGTGTGCTGATGCATGGGTCATGTCCTATATCCAGGAGAGACCGTGAGCACCGGCCCCGTTTCGAAGAACTTGCCACCGATCCCAATCTACTTCTTAAAGTAGTCAGCTCCGTGCCGAAAGCGCCATAGACTTGCATGTCGTATGTCGAAGCCGCTTGGGGCCCCGCCAGCTCGACACGCTTGGTCACCTGATACCGATGCGAAGCACGAGCGAAGCGCCCAAGTCTCCCATGGTGCACACCATCCCTGACCACCCTTCGCATCCTCGTCCTCCTCGCAAGCCTCTTTCCCACCCCCTGGTCGACTCCGAGTTAAGAAGCTTGAAGGGAAGCCTGGACGCCGATGCCGCGTAACTTCAAATGTCGATGAAGCGATGCCGATGACGCCGAGGTGGCGACCGAATGAGACGAGCATAGGATCGCACTGTTGGACGCGAGCTGGAGGCCGTGCTCCTTGAAAACTGCTGCTGCCGAGGAAACACTGGTGGTGAGTTCGATGCTCACCTGCGTTTGCGAGCCACGTGTGGACATACTCAAGTCGTCAATCCATACACGCAGCATACGCTCGTTCATTCTAGGGTTCGCCCTGGTCAACTTCTGCAACGCATAATACGTCATGCAGCGAGAAACACGAGTACCATTACGCAGTCTCTGCACGATACTGCATGAAGATTGGAAGCATTCAGAATAAGCAACCAGCTGAGGACTACACGAGCTGCAAGACAGACTTGGAGCTCGAGAAACAAGAGGATGGGAGGGAAATTGAGACGAACCACTTGTTTTCACGTGTCCAGTTCGCCCAGGCGGATGTCTAGCATGATAATGTTTGAGGATGTGTTGAGCGAAACGCTTGTTTTCACGTGTGCAGGTCGCTCAGGCGGATGTCTAGCATGAGGATTCTGACAGGATGTCTCGAGCGAAACGCTTGTCCCCAGCACGTTCCATAGCGTGTCCCCTTGGCACGTCCCGCGGTGCGACCCCATGGCACGTCCCCTGGCACGTCGCCTGGCGCGTCCCTTGGGACGTTTCGCGGCGCGTCCTCCTGGCATGTCCCCTTGTCAATTAGCTCTGGGGCAGCTACTATGTGTTCAGGCAGCTCGAGCTTAAGATCCAGATCAGTTCGGTCAGGACTCGGATGCAAAGGAGGACTCGATCCACAACGCTATAGAGCACAATCGCGGCATGGCACATCGCAATTCAGCACGGCGCAGCACAGCACAGCCCTCGGCAGGGTACATCAAGATCGATACACTCAGCATTGCATTTGCCCGTGACCCCATCAGGTGTCTTTGAAAACGCTGCCACGCGTTACATTTCTATATTCCTTTCCAGGTTCGTGGGTCGATCATGTTTCCCGCTGGTGCCCTTGCCCTTGCCTCCCCAAATGCCATTGACGTCGACAGCGAGCTGGAGAGAACTGGCGCCGCCATCATCACCTTTGCCGCAGTTGCCCTTCTTGTTGGACTTCGGAACATACATCTTGATAGGTCGATCGAATGTGCTGCAGTTGTACCCACTGGACTTTTGGATGTCGTTCCATTCTGGCGACTGACAGACTTTGCATGTCGGCCAGAGTCTGGTGCCAGCAGCATGTGCCATCTGAAGTGATCTGATCACCCCGCTTCGTTACGCGAACCGACGAACGAAAGGAACATGTAGCTAGGAGATCGCGTAGTCCCCAAACAGCCACGCGCGCGACAAAAGGAGGCGCCTGAGCCAGAACGGGATTGAAGGCCAGGCCCGAAGGGAGGGAGGGGAGGCAGATGGAGGCAGGGCGGGAGGGGGCCGGCCACATTGAGCCCCAGGAGAGGCTCCAGAAGAGCTCCAGAGGCCCCAGTGAGCTGCCGGAAACACCTGGAGTGCTGTGGAGGCCCCAGGAGGCAGCAGGAGGTGGGGGAGGAGACGGTGGAGGAGCAGGAGCAGGAGCAGGAGGCGCAGGAACAGGAGGGGCGGGCGGCCAATCCCGAGCTGGCGCAAGCCTGGCTTTTGCGGCAGGCCATCGGCACGGATTGAGCCTGCCCGTTGCGCCACGGGGGGTCCTCCCCCCTGCCTTGCCATTGCCCCGCCTTCTCCCCAAGGCAGCAGAGGGGAGCGACACGGCAAGGAACTCGCCCGCCCAGCCACGCAGAACTCGCAGCAGCCGCACTCGCAGCGGCGGCGCTGGGGCGACCTCCCTCCTGCGGCGGTTTCAAAGATGGGGCCCTTGGGGATGGGGACGTAAAGGACAGGAAGCGATCCCAGGCGCAATGTACCCTGTTTGGGGGCCCTCGCCTTCAACAAGGGCCCCATGCCTCGGGGCCCCATCTTCGAAACGCCGACTCCTCCTCCCCCCCCCCAGGTTCACTGGCAGCCAACGAGCGAGAGAGTATCCATCGGATGCCTCCTCTGCCTCGGAAGCCACGCGGCTTTTGCTTGCCGGCGCCAGCCTCGGGGCCTGCTCCGCCTCTTCTGAGCCAAGAGCCGCCGACTGTGACAGGGCGGCCTGGCGGGAGGCATGGGCGCCACCCTCCCCCTTCCCTGACGTTCAGCGGCTCGGTCTCTTCGAGACGTGGTCCCCCAGACCCCTCGACCCTTCCATAGGGTTAAGTCAGGCATGTCCCTCTACAGGAGGAAGATTCAAAAATAGTTTGGACAAATAGTCTGTGAGCGATCTTTCTATTATTTAATCGCTTCGCTCATTCCGCCGGCCCTGGAGCGCTATTTGGGGCCTCTTGGGGCCGTCTTGGGGGCTTCTTGGGGGCTTCTTGGGAGCGTCTTGGGGCTCCTTGGCGGCGCATAGGGCTCCCCTGGGGCCTCTTGGGGGGCTCTTGGGGGCCCCTTGGGGCGGGAAGGGGGGTAGTCGATTGCAGCCCCCCCCCTCGGAGGCCACGATCCTCGTGAGGGGTGGCGAAAAATAGCCACCCCCCTGAGGATCGCCCGGGACCCGGCCGGGGATCAGCCGGGGTACTTTCCGTCCGGGGCTCCCCAGGGGCCGCCCCGCGCGCGCGAACTAAAAATACTGTTAAGTAGTTACCGGAGATCTTAGCACGCCTCTGGCCCGTTGGGCCGGCAAATTTCCAAACCATCCTGTGGTGTTAAGTCCTCGTTGTGCAGAGGCGGTCCCCGCGTTCTCCTCCTCCCGCCTCCTTCCTCCCTCCTCCTCCCCCTCCTCCTTCCTCCTTGCGTTTCACCCACCCAGCACAGCGTTTCGTGACCCCACCAGGAGCTCCACCGAAGGCCCCAGCCTTCGCATGGCGGCCTCGGGCCATTTCGGCACACCCATCACGAGGATCGTGGCCCCATAAGGAAACTCCACTGGAGGCCCCAGTAGCAAGGTTCGCATGGCGGCCTCGGGCCATTTCGGCACACCCCTCACAAGGATCGTGGCCCCATATGAGCTCCACCGAAGGCGCCAGTAGCAGGGTTCACATGGCGGCCTCGGGCCATTTCGGCACACCCCTCACGAGGATCGTGGCCCCATAAGAAGCTCCACCGAAAGCCCCAGTGGCAGGTTTCGCATGGCGGCCTCGGGCCATTTCGGCACACCCCTCGCGAGGATCGGGGCCCCATCAGGAATTCTACCGAATGCCCCAGTGGCAGGGGTCGCATGGCGGCCTCGGGCCATTTTGGCACACCCATCACGAGGATCGTGGCCCCGTAAGGAATTCTATTGAATGCCCCAGTGGCAGGGTTCGCATGGCGGCCTCGGGCCATTTCGGCACACCCCTCACGAGGATCGTGGCCCCATAGGAAGCTCCACCGAAGGCGCCAGTAGCAGGGTTCACATGGCGGCCTCGGGCCATTTCGGCACACCCCTCACGAGGATCGTGGCCCCATAGGAGCTCCACCGGAGGCTCCAGTAGCAGGGTTCGCATGGCGGCCTCGGGCCATTTCGGCACACCCCTCACGAGGATCGTGGCCCCATAAGGAATTCTACCGAATGCCCCAATGGCGGGGTACGCATGGCGGCCTCGGGCCATTTCGGCACACCCCTCACAGGGATCGTGGCCCCATAGGAGCTCCACTGAAGGCGCCAGTGGCAGGGTTCGCATGGCGGCCTCGGGCCATGTCGGCACACCCATCACGAGGATCGTGGCCCCATAGGGAGCTCCACCGAAGGCGCCAGTAGCAAAGTTGGCATGGCGGCCTCGGGCCATTTCGGCACACCCCTCACGAGGATCGTGGCCCAAATAGGAAGCTCCGACGAATTTGCCCCAGTAAGCAGGGTTCGCATGGCGGCCTCGGGCCATTTCGGCACACCCCTCACGAGGATCGTGGCCCCAGAGGAGCCCCACC